ACTCCAAATATTGTTGATCTAATTGGTTCATGGACTGGTGTAGTTATCGCTATCACTTAAATTAACATTGTGTTTTGGATTTTCTTTTTTAGCTACTGATAATACCCATAATACCAAAGTTCCTCTGGCAAGATGGTGGATACTGTGTGGTAACTACAGTGTAAAAAAACGAAGATTTTGATTTCAAATCGACAGAGCTCACCTGGATGACACAAATCTCATTCGGCTCCACCATCATCTTCCCAAACTCTGTAGTGATCAAGATCTCGCCCTTCTGGGGAACTAGAGAGACAAAACGATGGAAAATGGTGAAAGGATTGAGCCATCAGTGTTCTTCTGGTAAATGACAGCAAAAAACATCCACAGCCCATTTCCCTCACCAATCAGGAAGTCTCCATCAGAGTTATTGAAGCACCTGAAACAGGAAAACAATTGAAGCAGAGGAGTTGTTGCCTGTCGGTGACAATGTGACAATACATCTACTGGTTACACGAGTAGACAGACAGCGGCCTACTCACCTGTCCACCATGGAGGTGTTGCACGTGTACATGTGGATGCCGATGCCATTGCGTGATTTGGAATCTCCAGCACCACAGACTGTGTGCAGACCCTGGAAGATGAAAGGAGAAGATGTCGTTGATCCTCAGCCTTATACAGGTTCTTGTCCTGCTGATCGATGCTGAAACTTACTGCTACAAAGTCCACTTTCTTCTCTGCCACTTTAGGAATGGTGAAAGGAAGCCACCGCATCTGTGGGACAAATCATTTAAACCAGGGTTGGTTTATTTTATATTTTTAGGCTAAACACCCTAGTGGAGAAACAGAGAATTGTTCCCTCGTATATATATCGGTATTTTCTTTTATATAAATCAGAGTTTTATACTGAATATGGCCTGGTACTATGTATAAAAACATTGTTATTTTCATAAATAAATTCATACAAAACACAGTTTCATATATTCTATATTCAACTATAAAATCTACAACCCCTCTTCCCTGCCTCCATGGACCTGTCAGGGGTTGCAGACCCACTGTTGAAGACCCTTGCTTTCAGCAGTAACTCAAAGTAAGACAATTAAAATAAATTGTGTCATTCATAATTATGAAAACATTTCTAAGACAAACCACTCTCCTTCGATGCACAATAACAGATATTTGATAGCACCACACCAAAGTTCATTTTTGCAGTATTTTTTCAAATACCCAGGACATCGTGTTCTCCAGTACCTGGTTTGGATCAGGTTCCACCTCGTTCCAGTTCTCTAACAGATCCCCACATGGCACCGCAGTGAAAGGCTTATGTTTGACAGATGGAAGGATGCGGTACAGCCAGCTGAAGAATGAGACATGTGTTAGCGTGTTGTCAATAATGTCTAGGGTTATTTGTTTATGAGGCTGATGGTGGGAAGACGTACCTCCTCTTATTGGCTGGTCGGGGGCAGGTGAAAGCAGAACCAGAGAGCTGCTCCGCATAGAGACCGTATGGACAAACCTGGGGGTTGTTCTGTAGAGACAAAGGCAGTAAGGTCAGATGGAGCGTAGATGTTAAACTTTACAATACAACAGTCCGGTGGGCTCCCTCTCATGGTACCCAAGAAAATCTGGTTCCTATTCACAGCATATAGTCACTTTGTTATCAATACAGCATTATCTACATGTTTGTATTCCTGTGTTCTCTCTATATGTGGTTTCAGAAGTACATTCAAGTGAAGTGCTGAATGGAGACAAATATTTAAAGAGCTAGAATGCAGTATAAAATATTTGCAGTACTACTGCAGCAGATAAATATTAACCTTTCACACTGTTCTTGTTAGAACCTGAAGGTGAAGTGATGTGTGTATTGAAATGAAAGGGCAAGAAGAGCCTTTATAAAATACTTTTTCTTCCTGTGAAATATGTTTAGGAAAATCTTGGCAAATTTTGGGAATAATTAAATTAAATTTTAAAAAATGTTTTAGTCAAGTTTTTTGCCACGTCTTTGTCAAAACTTTAGTTTATTTCCTGAGCAATTTTACTTTTCTTTTGTGTAACCTTCAGCCTTTACATACTGTTTACTTTTTTGTTAGCTATAACATTGGCCTCCTTTGGTTAATATTTGAGTAACATTGAACATATATGTTTTTAACCTCAGTCTCCTTTTGTTTTTTCGAGCTTTTTCGTCAAACCTATTCTTTGCCATTTCTCGTACTTGGCTGTGGATATTTTTCTTTTAAGACATTTCAGAAAAAGTCAATTAATATTGGTATTTTACCAAATGTTATCAATTAAGACATTTGAAGGGTATTATGCCTCCAGTCACTGCTAATTGCCCCAGGTCTCTACATGTGTTTGACGCTCAAATACATTTCACACAATGAACTTAAACTCACAACCAAGGGCCCATCCCTGATTGTTGTGCATTCAACTGTGTGTGAGGTACCTGCCCCTCAGGTAACGATCCAGGACAGCGAGGGTCTTCAGAGGAGAACTCATTTCCAAACCCACTCAGGTACTGAAACACACAGACGTTTAACACACAAGGCGAGTTAATATGAGAAAAATTAAAGAAAATACTCCATGCAGCTTCATTGTAATGCAAGATAAATGTCTTCACGCTGGCTACAATTAAACCTGAAGGCTCGTCATTAAGGCTTGTCTTTCTCTTAATTGTCGTCACATTGATTCTCATCGGATCTATGACAAATCAAACTGCAGTTACAACAAATTTGCCCCCCTCCCTTTGCAGTTATCTATTACTTTTGTGCTTTGGTGTGACACAAACAAACTAATAATTATACACAAACGCACGACAGCACATTTTGAGTGATTACAAGATCATTATTAATTTACTCGACTTCTTTGAAGGCAACTGATCACCTGCCTCCGAGGTTCAGCCGCTCGAGACAGTGAACCGGGCGGAAGGTGAAGAGATGTTGCTGAGTCACTGTTAGTCTGCAGAAAACCGCTCAGCAGTGGCTTCAATGGTTTCCATATGTCCGTGTGTGTGTGAGATGTGCCGAAAACACACAGGGAGCTCCAGGGTTTGGAGTTTAAAGAATGCAATTTTACATTAGTGTATCACTGAATTAAAGGTTTATCCTACGGCATGGGGCGTTTTTTTCTCCTTCTTCAGTTCATGACCATGACCTGGATGACTGAGAATCTTCATAGACAAACTACACAGTGTTCACAGAACAGGTTTTTCCACCAAAACAAACGTAACAAACAGTTTTTCTTTTCCGTTTGTAAGTTTCCAATAAATGTTATTTTCTGCTGTCTTGCTGCCTCAACATCTGGGCAGCTGCAGAATGCTGCGCTCTGATTGGTCAGATGGAACACCTCCCATCAGTCAGCCGGTAACAAAGTTTTTTTTTTTAAAGATTACTTTTGGAACAACATGCACAATTTCACGCAGGTTCAGCTTCAGATTCCAACTATTATGGATTAAATCAAAGCACATTTGTATATTTAGGTTTAACAGACCAAAACCTAGCTTGTCAGAACAGTCTCTCTGCTGTGCTGAATGAGTATTCAACACAGCAGAGAGCAGTATCAAAGTCTTACCTTAAGTCCAGCCATGGTTTGTGTGTTTTCAGTTTCCTGGTAGCTGTTTTAGGTGTTAGTAAAGTATTTTAGAGACGTGAGAGAGATTCCTGAAGTGTTCCCTTAGGCCAGACTCCAGTGCAGAGAGAGTGCATGTCTGTGTGGAGTGAGTTTTACAGAGGGGGTTGGATTTAAACCCTGTTCTCAGTATGGTTTCAATTAAGCATTGACAGACAGTGTGACGCAACTGAGGCAGAGGAGAGGGCTCAGAGTTTGGGTAGATCAGACCAGTTCAAAGTCTGGCTCTCAACATTTTGGGTTAACAAACATTGTATACATACAGTATATACATTTATATTTATTATTATTATTATTATTTTTTTTTTTCCATAGTTTGTTTTCCTTTCCATTCCTGATTTCTGGCTTTAGGTTCAAATATGTTTATATCTTCAAATATTTTAGGTAAATTTGAGTATTAACATCATCTTAATTAAAAAAACACCAGACACAATATCATTATATAGAGGTTATATGCTAAAAGGTATATATATATATTACCTGTATTGTCTGTATATGCAGTATAGCTGCATGGTGACCTCTAGTGAGACTGCTTGTGCAAACAAAGTGTTGTGCACAACCTCACATTGGACAAAGTAAATAACAGGAGTTTATTATTGGGATTTAATCCACTGCAGTTAAAAACTTTTACTTTTAATAAGTTATTGGTAAAAATATATTCGGCGCAATAGGTTTTGAATGTGTCACATCTTTACGTTTGTAACAAGGCATCACCAAAACATCCAAAACAATCTACTGTATATGCCACAGATCTCAAGACTAAACACATCTAAATGACCTGACTGTGCTGGTGTGAACGCCATGACTTGACGACACACATTCATTTATTAAAAGCTCACATTCTCCAGGTTTAATTGATTTTTCCTATAATCTGAACTTCCCTAGACGTAAACCTCCTCACGCCACAAGGAGTAATTCCTTCTCAATATGAGCAGCAGCACAGAGGCCCTATACATTACTTTAAGCCAAATTTATTCAGCTCATTTCTTGAAAGAGATGCTCAAACGGTGGGTACCTAAGTCCCCCATGCAGCATGTATCAGGGAAAATCAATTTCATCTTTCTTATTCTTGGCTTGCTTTCACTGTTGTCTATTTCTTTCTTTTTCAGAGGCGTTTGCGAAGGGTAAATGACGGCAATTCTCATAGCGAGGCGCAAATAAACTCGCCACGGCAGAAGTAACTGTTCTCCACCGAGGCGTGCAGTCGGGCCTCAGGGCCCCCCGCTGGCAGGCATTCAAGGTGCTGTGCCAAAGACGAGAAAAGCCAATGGCAGGGAAATATCACGTCCCGGGCTCCGGAAATTGATCTGCTCCTTGTACGGAGAAAGAAAATGGTGTGATTTTAATTTCATCCCCCGAGTCTGATGATAGAATTCTAGTGCAGCCTATTGGGCTCCAATCTGGTCGGTGTTTTGTGTTTTAAGTAAGGCAGGAATAGCTGGAGGTAGCAGAGAAGATGCGGCCGTTGTCTGCTGACAGAGATATCCATGCATGCGTGAGTGAGCCATAAACACTTTGTTATTAGA